TACAAACTTAGCATTTTTCACAGAATTTCATATTTAAGCTTCCCGGCTACGCGCCCGGACTGCGCACGCAAATCGAGACAATCCTAATTGAGGTTTTCAAGGCCTCAGAGACACGGGATTCAATTAGCAACATGTGATGACTCCTTTGGGTCGTCACGGTCTGATTCATAGTCCAAGAGACACCAAATTCGACGCATTATGCTTATTAGTGAAAACCAAGCAAATATTTTTTTTATTTCACTAATGTCTTAATATTCTTTTTGAGTTATGTTGGGTTTGTTAGAAAAATAATTTAATAAGTCAAAAAAAAATATTTAAATTATTGTATAGGTTCATTCTTGTTATATTAATGAATATTTATTATATTATCAATTTGAATATATTTAATGTGTATAATATTAAATTTGAATAACTTTGAATATAATATATTTACTAACCTTGAATGGCTATCAAAATCAGTTTGATCAATGATTAAAATGAATTTGCGGTTTGAAACGATTTTGAATTGCTTTAATGTTGCGTAACATTTTTGGCATTTCTTAACAGCCAGAAGTCCATTTTTGGACCATGTATAAGTATATCTTCTTGTGTTCATTTGGTGGTGAGGGAAAAGATGAAAAAAGTAAAACTTTTCTTTCTTCTTTGTTGTTTCTGCTCCTAGTATACTAGAAGAGCTTATTTAATCCTACAGGATACGCCTAATTTTATTCATCACAATATGAGCGAAATATTCTTAAGGACCAATGTCCTTGACACGCCTCAAACTAATCTTATTCTCCATAAATACTATTTTTCAACACAATTAACTCAATTAACCGCTCATTCAATAGCTCAAATTAAAAATAGAAAAGATAATAACTTGAGAAAGGGCCAAAAATGTCCCTCTACTATGAAAAAATAACTATTTATATCCTCCGTTATATTTTTGGTTCACTATTACCCTCAATGTTATAAAACTGATGAAAATATACACCTCCTCCGTTAGGATTTTTCACCATGGCCATACCATCTCACGTGGTCTAGCATTTTAATTTGCTGAGATTATGGACGTATTATGGCATGCCACATCGACGTCCAACAATATTTTACCCTCTCCTTCTTCTTCTACCACCACCTCTTCCATTACCCAACCACTGCCACCCCCACCATCACTTTTTTTGCTTGAATTGATATTTTGTAAGAAATTAAAGATCGTTAATAATCCAAAAATAAAACTTTCAACTTTAAGGTGCAGAATGAGCTTCCTTCCCAGAATTAAAGCTTTAATGGGTTCCTTTGCCTTCCCTCCCTTTCCTAGGAATATACAAGCATATGTATGCTGGAGAATCTTTTTTTTTTTTCGCATGTACAATATGTTCAGATAACAATATATTATGTGTTCTGTTTGCTCCATAGAATTAGTAAACAATTTCCTTTAAAATCTTTTTTTTTTTTTGGGTGTATACGGATGATCTCTTTTGGGAGACTGGGTGAAGAGGAAGGTGTTGGTGGAAGAAGAGGATAAAATGTGATTGGGACGGTGATGTGGCGTGTCACATGGTGTTCATCATGTCATGTGAGATGGTGTGGCCATGGTGGAGGGTCTTAACGGAGAAGGGTTATTTTTGTACTAGTTTTATAATGTTGGGGTAATAATGACCCATAGTGCATAAATGATCTTTTTCACGTAGTAAAAAGATATTGGTATTAGGGACTTAAGGTCTTAATTAGGGTCAATTTCCACTAATGTATTGGCTCGTGTTTTGACTTTATATTGGTATTTCTCCCTATTAATTAGTTTATGCTGTGAGGATGATAATTTGCACCTGTTTGTTTTAAATAGCTCATTAGGTGTGAAAGAAAAAATATTTATATTGCCTATTGATATAAGTGAGTTCATCGCTTAAATGGTTACTGAATATCTAAATTATGTAATTAAGAATTGACTTCTACTTTTAAATTTTACATCATAAGCAAGCATCCCTTTCTCTTCTTTTTATTTGTTTTGTTTTGGGGGTGGGGGTGTGGTGGGGGAGACAAGGGTGTCAATGAATATATTTTTCTTTTGTAAAATCAAGACAGAAAAGGACTAGAAGAGTATTCGCAAGCACAAACACGCCAATCGAATTATTTTGGGGCAAGCAAATGCCAATGTTGATGTTTAAAGAAAGATACAAATAGTGAAATCAAAAGAAATAAATAACATACTGAAAATATTTAAAATGTGATTGACATATTCTAGCTCAATAATTCAACAAAAGGGCAAAAAGACGAAATTAAAAAGCGACTTAAAACTATGTATAAGATGTATTTTAAATCCGACAAAATTTATTTACGGAAAAAGGCTTAAAATGCCCCTAAACTATCCGTTTTGGTACAATAATGCCCTCCATCCACCTATTGGGCCAAATATGTCATTTCGTTAATGTTTTTGGCTCACAAATGCCCTTTGAGTTAACGGAGGACATGTGTCATCCTCTTGTTGGCTCATTCTAAATATTTCTTAATTAATTAAAAAGACTCATTATTCATACCCGAAAAATAAATTTCTAAAGCAATTTTTCTAAAACTTTTTTTTACTAAAAACAGAAGAAAAAAAAGGAATTTTTTTTCCAGTTTTTACAAAAAAATAGATTTTTACTAAAATAATGTTTTTGTAAAAACAAAAATAAAATCTAAAAAGCAATTTTCTAAAGCAATATTTTTGAAAAAACTGGAAAAAAAAGTAGATATTTTTTGCTAAAATCAAAAATAAATAAAAAAATCCAGTTTTTAGAAAAATATTTCTTTAAAAAACTGGAAAAAAAATCCATGTTTTTTGATGTGCATTGGTCCTATGTCAACCATTTATATACACAGATTCCAAGCTTCCACAACAGCAGAAAACGATCCTATAATGTTTGTTCTTTTGGTTCAATATTTTCACGTTATGGCTTCCAAAAAAAATCCAACTTTGCAAAAAACTGGATTTTTTTTTATTGTGATTTTAGCAAAAAACATCTACTTTTTTACATCTACTGATTCTTTTAGTAAAAAAATCTATTTTTTTGTAAAAACTGGAAAAAAAATTCCTTTTTTTTCTTTAGTTTTTAGTAAAAAAAAATTTTAGAAAAATTGATTTAGAAAATTATTTTTCGGGTATGAATAATGGATCTTTTTAATTAATTAAGAAATATTTAGAATGGACCAACAGGAGGATGACACGTGTCCTCCGTTAACTCAAAGGGCATTTGTGAGCCAAAAACATTAACGGAAGGGCATATTTGGCCCAATAGGTGGATGAAGGACATTATTGTATCAAAACGGATAGTTCAGGGGCATTTTAGGCCCTTTTCCGATTTATTTAAGGAGTGAGATCACAATAACAACAACATACCGGTGTAAACCACAATATTGAATAAACACGATTAGGTTGGAGATTGATTAAACACCTTTGTAGTGAATCTATCTTATGACACCACATTTTAATCATTCTTGAAAAATATAGCAAAAATAATACAAAGTAGACAGAATTATTTGAATTCATACTTTAGAGATTCTTACTTAAGTTTAGATCATGTTAATGATCATATGCTCTATAGATATATATATATATATATATATTATTATTATTATTCTTACTTTCTTCCATTTCGATTAGGTAATAATGATCACAGTGATTTTAATTCTTTGAATTTGCAACAAACCTTTTTGCATTACAATAACAACACAGTATAATTCTCACTAGTGAGGTCTGGGGAGGGTAGTGTGTACGCATACTTTACCCCTACCATGAGGTAGAGAGACTATTTCCAATAGACTCTCGGCATCCTTCCCTCCAAGAACTTCTCACGTTGCTCTTGGGGTGACTCGAATTGAGAACCTCTTGGTTGGAAGTGGAGGTTGCTTACCATCAGAGCAACCTTTTTGCGGTAAATATCCGGAAAAAACGATAAATCTTTCCACATGATACACGAGTTTGGAGAATGTCATTAATTGTTTATAGTGAAATACAGTACAAAAAAACTGAAATTAACTACGACTTCGTCACTAATTTGTCGTTAAATCGCTCGTATCTAATAGAATTTCTTATTATTATATTGCTAATTTGTCGCTAAATAGAATTAGTGGTAGATTTATTGTTTAGCTACAAAATTTCTCCGTCATTAATTTCTGTTTTTTTTAGTAGTGATAACATTTCAATATATAGTAGATATCAAAATCACTGAGGCAGCTTTTTGTTGCAAGCATTATGACATGTTGACCTAAGTCTTCATGAAAATATTTGTCAAAAATCCTAATAATTGGTTTTGTGTTTGTGCCTTTGGCTTTTCATTGCATTACTCAACTTTTATTTTTTTAATACTTTTATTCTCTTCCTTCTTTGTTTTTTGGTGGTGGGGTCTGCAGCTTGAAACATGAGCAAAACACGAAGAAAAATTAACTATGATGGTGTTGTCTTATTATTGGTCTTATTATAAGCTATTATTAGACTAACCACCGGTCGAACTTTGGAACTAGTCTTGTACCATCTATTTATGTAAACTATTCATTTCTTACCTTATATATATGAAACAAACTTGCACTAATGGATAAGGACACGTTTCTCTTAAAAGATTTGGGGAATTTTTTTATTTTTTGGGGGGGTTTGGGGTGAGGCTTTTTTCCCTTTCTTGGTAAAAATGAAAAAAAAAATTAAAAATAGTCAGATTTGCAACTAGTAATTAAAAAATAGCTGCAATTTCAAAAGTACAAAAATTTAACTATTTTTTCATGTAAGATAAAATCTGAACAAAAATACCCTTGAAAATTCAAAAAAATTACAACATAATATGTTGTAATTCGAATTTTTTACATATGAGATCCCAACATAATGTGCTGAAATTTGAGAATGTGACAGAATTCCCACATAACCACATAAGCTCCATAATCTAGCATATTATGCTAGAACTTTCCGTGTAGCGACTTCCGCGAGAAAGTAACCGTACAGAATCATATAGGATGCCCGTTACAAGGGCAAGGTTCTAATACCAGGGAACTCATTTTGAGGCAAAAATTCAATCTATTTTCTTTCATAGTTCTGGGAGGGAAAAATACTGAGCATACATTACAGTTTCCTTTCAAGAGTTCATAAATCTTATTCAAACAAGATTTAGCGATTTACTGCTTAATCACCGCTATGTAAGTCATAAAGGAGGCCATCATCCAAAAGAAAGATGATATTTCAAATTTTAGTTTATTGGCACAGCACAATACAACAGCTATAAATATATGCAACTCTTCCTTCACAGTCGAGCAGTATGCAGTTGCTGCTTGAGTAGTGGCCTAATATATTCATGGAAGCCATCGGCTATATCGGATTGGTTGAGAGGATCCTTCCATGCAGCCTCATACAGTTTCGGATACACGTTTCCATCATAACGTCCAAGAATTGAATCAAGGAAGTGATCGGTATAGTTAAATGCATCAACCAGCGATATAGCATTTGGACGAAGCTGATATTAAACAGTAATGGATCAGTAAAAGCAGCTTCAACCCTCCAAGCCCAAAAAAAAAAAACAGATAACAAGTTTAACGAGACGAACCTGGGAATATAAGGCTCTGAGCTGGTCATTAGCAAGTGATGCCTGCTTTGAGGTGATATAGCCAGTCCCGAGAAAATCTCCTTGATGTTTGTGAAGAAGGAAGAGGGAATAGATACCGCAAAGCACTTCCAGCTGTTGCTTAACCCCTTTCCCGGGAATGTCTTGTTGCAATTTCTCAATAAACCTTAATGAGATGAAAGACGTATTAATTAACAAAGTTCTATAATCTACGATGTTCTCAACCAAATCATGGTAAATTCCATTATCGAGAAGCTTAAAGCAGATACAATTCATGCTTTACAATACGAAGATCCTTATCAACTTAGGAAACGATTATACCATTTTCAGCAAGAAAAAGACTTTGCTAAAAAGCAGACTGGTTATCCATATACACAGCTGAAGAACAAATAGGCAGCAGAAAATTCTGCAGTCTCTCCAATTGGATAGTTCATAGGTATAGTACTTATCAAGAACGAAACTGTGTTTGCAGCATCATAAAGTTGTTCGATTTTACAAGAAGAGAATGCAGTAAAGAAGCTTACTTGGAGACAACAATTAATTGACAATGAGCAACTGCTGCTTCAGCTAAATCAGCTGCAAGTTCTGCAAAGCCTAAAAAAGGAGGACAAAGCAAGAAAATTATAAATTGAATTTTGATTGTGAGAAAAATAAATACACCTATCGAACGTTGAATTAAATTTCATGCAGAAACTTTAAGCTGGTTGGTAATCAAAAATTACAGAATTGATAAGAAAGATGCAACTGCTAAAAAGTGAGGACCTTCTTCTGGATTATCAAACTTGCTAAGATTCTGAGCACAAGCAACAGACATTCTGGCAGCCCTTGCTTCAAACGCTTCCACTACCACACTAGGTTTCAGCCAGTCCTTGGCTGCAGGAGACGGAAGACAACCACAATCAGCAATCTACTTTGCGTATGTCAGAAAAACACAAGAGGCTAATTGGAAAGACGAAACAACAGGCATTCTCACACGATTGACATTACGCACGTAAAAGAGAGGAATATAAAAAGATTACACATACTAATATCACAAGCAGATCCTTTTCTAAGGCAACCGATGCTGTAACACGACTTCAGAATGAACTGTAACTATAACAATGAAGGATTTTTACCTTGTTTCACATCAGAACGGCATTGCATCAAATGTTCAATTCTTCCCATATAAGATATGGTACCCACTGGCTTCTTTCCAGAGCCCAGCTGTGAAACGGTCTTCATAAGAAACCTTGCAACCTACATGAAACACCAGCATGGTTCATAGTGGAATACTAGATCTAAAATATCATACTATTATATCAGAATCAGAACACTATGTATAAGACTTCATAAAACAGACAAGTATCTGTTTCACTTCATTTGCTCATTTAAGCTTTCAACATTTAAGTTACCAAAAGTATTTTTTTATTTTGGGGGTTTGGGGGGGGGCCACAACAAGCGAAAGAACAGACAAGCCACAGCCATCCTATTCATAAAGTAGGATTCAGGAATGTAGACATAGCTATGACAAGTGGATCACAGTGATACAATGTTTGAGAACATTGTCTTGAGTTTCCCAAAAATATAGAGCAGTAAAACTATTTTTCGAAGATCTTTCGAGCCAGCTAGCTTTTGTACACAAAACAAGCTTTACTCAACAATTTTCACGCCTGGCACTTCTACCCCTAACCTTTTGGCACTTTGCTACTAAACTTGCACATTCACAATCATGCGCTCGCAAGCAAAAAATTTAACAAGTGTCATGTAAAATCTCATGAGACTTGCTTTTGGGAGAGCAATAGGGAAAAACACCACCAACAGAATCACCATATTGATGCAACAACTAATCCCCACGAATTTACCCTACAGGAAAAAATTGCTCAACCACCGAACCTACAGACATTTTAATTCATCCATCAATTTTAGGAAAATTGACCTTTTTTTTAAATAAGGAATTTAGGAAAATTAACCTTCTATACAACTCACTTATCTACTTCCTCTATCCCAAAAAGTTATCCTAGTCTCCTCTCAGTTACCAAATGATCTCTGTTTTTCGCGAAGCGACAAAATGTACCTTGATTCAGAGTCTGCACTTTTGAGTTCCAACCATTGATAAACTAAATTTTAGAATATCTATAACTTCTAAAAGATCTTGATAAAGAGGGACATCCGGAGGTTCAAGAGAACTCTTTATGTAAGAATTCACATTTTGCAGATATTCCTTAATACTTCTCATTTGATAGTTCTCTTATTTTAACAACAAAAGATTAACCCGAAGTGTTAAATGACAAACTGAAGCATAGAGAATTTATATAAAAAACGAATTCCTATGCTTGATAACTAAATATCATTGACAGGCTTAAATGACCACCACTGAACCAGTTGTGAAAGGAATCTCCAAGTCCACACAATCCCTTTAAGAACGCACTTAAAAAAATTGGAAACACAAAGAAGGAAACAACCAAAATCTTAGTCTTCTCCTTGGATGAGTGGAAGGGAAACAAGAACTTAGAACTGGCATGTCAACCTTCATAAAACAATTAGTTTACCTGTAGTAGAAGCACAGTGTTATCTCCTTCGTATGTACAGGCAGGTACATAAACGGCAAATAACTCTGGAAGCCCACTGCTACATAGATATCCATGACCTCCACATAACTTTCGGCATTCTTCAATTCCATCCTGGAATAAAATTGCAACGAGGCAGCATGTTATGTTGAATGGCATGACAATGGATTCAAGGAAACAATTAGAGAAAAGTTCTTTTCTTTCTTTTTCTTACACAAGCAACAGTTTTTCTTGAATCTGAAGAAAAGATCAGGTCCAAAATAAAATTTCCCAAGGTACATTCAAGAGAACATTAACTACTATTAAATAAGCCAGTCCAATCCAATTGAAGAAGACACGCTTGCTAGTCTCTTATCCCAATACAAATGAAGATTGTTTAGGAGACTACATTATAGCGGACAGCTCAATCATCACAGCATCTTTTTTTTTTGATAAGTTCAATCATCACAGCATCTTAATCAGCCAAACATTAGATTTCAATGCCCACAAGTACGAACAAAAACTGTATGGCAGGCAAAACTTAAAGATGTGTTCAGCCATATATTTTTCTGATTATGTACTCTGCACATGTATATTATAAAATGTCACTCTTAACAGAAACTAACATATCCCTTATACATAATTTATGTAAAAGACTTGGACAATGACCCAAAAGCCCCAGGCAAGGATGACGGCGTCAATCAAAGATTGTAAAGTGCAAGGTAGGTGGACAATCAAAGTTGTTGTCACTACTTACAGCAGTGGCAGTGGTTGTCAAAGACTTCAATCCCGCCGTACATGCGTGCGCCTCAGGCAATGTTGAGAAATCATTTGCTTGCAGTCTTTGGGTCACATCAGTGTACAACCATTTCAGCCACTCCCCAACAAATCTGAAGGCATATGCAGAAGCCAACAAGGGGAAGAGCCTGCTTTGCTGAGTTTTATAGTCAATCACCTGCATAAAAGCATGCAGTAAGAGCATTAATCACAACTCTCAAGCTGATAAACGATGACTATGTGGAGTCACCCGACAATACTACTCGACTGGGAAAAACATAAATCTATGAACACTTGTGCTAAATACGACGATACAAGTAGCAATAAGATTTTGTAGTCTTGATGCGCCAAAAAAATACTATCAAAGTCAGTTAGCATAAAAGTTCTTTTTCTGAGTCACAGAGGTTTAATGAACATAAATTTATTTTCTTTCATAAAGTTAATGAACATAAATTATTTAAAGCCATAAGATTCCTAGTATTGCAAATTTTGTCGTCCGCAAAGTCAGAAAATGTTGGAGTACAGCAATTGGCTCTGCCGGGAGATGTTTTGGTATAAATATCACTTGTTTAATGATACAAGTCAGCCCAAAGATGTGCATACTTTTAATTATTGATCATTACATAAAAAGTTCCCAGAAAAATCTTATGCTCGCTTTACGAATCACAGTCCGCTTTAAATTGCTACAGGATCTTGTTGATATCTACCACAACAACAACAACCACCCAGTATAATCCCACTTAGTGGGGTCTGGGGAGGGTAGTGTATACGCAGACCTTACCCCTACCCTGGGGTAGAGAGGCTGTTTCCAAATAGACCCCCGGCATCCTTCCCTACAAGAACTTACCACCTTGCTCTTGGGGAGACTCGAACTCGCAACCTCTTGGTTGGAAGTGGAGGTTGCTTACCTTCAGAGCAACCCCTCTTGTCACCACAGAATACTATAATCAGATTCCCCCTTCCCTTACCAGTTAAATTTTTTGAAGATATCACCGAGGTAATTGAGCATAAATCTCTATCTTTGGGCATTTATCCAACATAGGTTGGGTATTGGGGATTTTTGTAAGGGATTAATGGCTAATTCAACATGGATAATGGAAAGAGAAAAGTGCACGTCATTCCACCCATCCCCTTTATTAACAAACATGCAGACGCCAAAACTCATTCTCTCCACTCAAAATACTATGAGACAAGAGATTGCCCTTGGTACAGATGCTGGATTTGCGCTGGCCGACATTAGTGGCATTGATACGGAAAGTTGTTTGGTATGAATCTATGTTGCACGGACTCTCCAAAATACCGCTGCACCCGTGTCGGATTCTCCAAAAATACACTGCTTTTGGAGAATCCGACACGCACCCGGCGACATTTTCGGAGAGTCCGAGCAATATAGGTATGAATTTCTTTTTTGAACAAGCAAATGCATTTCATGAAACACAGAACATTTTTAAATCAAAAATCTTAATAAAAGTGTCTCCCTTCTATTCATAATTATAATTGCAAGAGCCCCACCAAGATGAGTATGCTAGAAAATGGCATGCATATGAGTGAAAGATCAGAACCCTGCCATTACAAATGACCATCCTACTTTACTACTGACAGGATTTGCTTCCAAGATTACCTGAATTTCTTGTCCACCATTCTGAGAACCAAATTGTCTACGAACGGCACTATATCTGGTTGCAATACACACAGCCCGAGACAAAGCACTGGAAGCATCTGCTACAATTGTTTGACGAACATATACCATTGTCCCATAAAGGAGTTGTCGGGGAACATCAGATTGGACATATTTTCCTTCCCTTGTAACTTGTGAAACCCTGAAAGTTTAGGAGCAAATATAATAACTACCACGTACTATAATACGATAATGAGCCAAAAACTATGATATCAAAATCATTGATACAGAAAAGGGATTTGGGTTTTTGGTTCGGCAACAGCAGTTATTCTGCTCATGTATTAACGGGATTCAGCCTAGTAATGTTTTAAACAGTAACTATCATTTCACTTAATTATAGGCCAGAAATTCCAAACTATCCTAACAGTTAAAGCTTATTTTTCTAGCTCCTGCTAAACCCTACCAGAATTGCAATATCTAAGACTACTTAAACACAAGAAGCTGAAACTTGAAAACCAGAAAAAGGTACACAACAAACCTCATCAGCATTTGATCTCTTGGAATGCGCACATGATCAAATCTTAATACCCCATTATCCATAGTATTGTATGCCCCGTTTCCAAATTTCATTCCAATGTCTCCAACAGTAACACCTGGAAGAGGTTTGTGGTCCTCCAAGCTTCGTAGTTGGACAATAAAACCTAAATATGAATTAGTCAATAAAATGTAAGTGCAACTTTCCTGAAAATTTAAAATGCACTACACCATCTTGTGACATGAGAATCATTGACTTACCATTAATCCCATAGTCTTTACCATTTGTTATAAGACGAGCGTACACAACAGCATGGGTAGAGACTTTACCCAATCCACCAGGCCACCACTATTCGAAATGGCAAAAAGCCAGAGATCAGGAAAATTTACTAACTCTTAATGAAATAAGAATATTATAATCGGTCAGCAAAATAAAGCTAATACAGCCATTTCAGAATAGCACATTGAACTGAATAAAAAAACTAGCAGCACGCCAACGATGTTTATATAGGAGGCATGTCTTGCATAACAGTGTATCATATACTTTTGAGTATCACTCCTCAAAATGTTAAAAATGGAGAACTGTTTCGCAAAAAGAATACAGAAAGACAAGTATTGAACAATTCTCACCTTGCTTGACGTCAATGTAGGACTATGAATGACAAATTCATCTGTTTGAGGATCAAATGTGGCAGTGGTTTCAAGGCCTTGCACATTGGACCCATGTCCAAGTTCAGTTTGAGCGTAGCACCCAATTATTTGCATCTTATAGGCCAACGGCAACCACTTTTTCTGCTGTTCATCTGTGCCCTGCCCTTTTATGGCTGGTATAAACATTCCCTAACGGAGAAAAATGGGGGCAGGTGAGCCACAATCCTAGGACTTGAAGCAATTGAAAATAGAAAGGGGAAAAAACTAGAGCAACGACTTTAAAATTAGTGTTTCTTTCTAATAATCGTCAAGCAAATTATGCATGTATATACACTTAATGCAAGCAGTAGCATAGCAAGAATTTAGCATAGGCAAAAGCAAAAGTCAAACAAGATGTTACCCAATGAAGATCGGTAAAAGCAGGCTCATCTACAAAATGCCTTAACTTAGCTGCTTCTTCTTCTGCAGGAAACGAAAATTCAAGGTAATCATCAAACACTTAATAAGACACCTCTTTTTTGGCAGAACACATATGAAAAGGATTAAAAAGCGAGAACAAAGTCATACCAGAAAGACGAAGTTCAATGATCCGTTTCCATGCATATGCCGCCTTCCTTAGCGTGTTCTTAAATAGCTCTTTCCTAGGAAGCATAGTCCTGCCTTCCTTACTGAAGCCCTATATCCCACAATGACACTCGGTAAAGATTAGTGACATGAAAAGTAGAAAAAGGGCAGAAACAGATAACGTAGTCAAACAGGACAACACCTTCCTTCAAAAACTCCCTCCCCCACCTCCCNCATTTCAAAATTTCAAACCCAAACGTTCACTAGCTGAATCACACGCACCAGTGGTCCGTTAAAATGTATCAAAATGGAAACTTTAAAGTTTAAAACAAATCACATTTAAATGAGCAACAAAAGACAGCTTCTTTGGCTGGCACAAAAAAAGTAACTTTTTCACCTTATGAAAGAAGAAAAAACTTCTCCCCTTTCTTATAGAAAAAGGTAGCTTTTCAGCATCAGAATCCTAGCTTTTCAAAACTAAAAACAGAATGCATTAGACAGCTCGCACGACCAAGATCTCCAAAACCATGGAGTGACATGGGTTCTACATTCTAATATCTAAAAGAAAAAAGAGAAAACTATGATAAACGGTTGTGTGAGCAAGTTCTAAAGCAAAAACCTTTTACCGACTAACTAAATCATCCTAAAGTTCAAATCCATGTTAGCATTTGACCAAAAATTTAATCCTACCAAAAAATTCTAATGCACCTACTCCATCAGTAACATTTTTCTTTTCCTCAGAACTTCAGAGCGGTTCTCGCACCAAACGATTACTCATTAACATCAAGTGAATAAAATTTGATCAAAGTTCAATCCAGAAGTTGGTCAGTTTATATCAGTTAAATAAAACACATTATTGGCACGGGCGGAGCTAGGTGGGCGGAAGGGGTTCCCTTGGCCGAAAATTACACTGTATATATAAGCTTGAACTTTTTTTTCATGTATATATATTAGATATTGAATACCATTAGCTTCTTTGGGTGTTTACTTTTTGAATCCCTTGGTGATAATCCTGCTTCCGCTATTCATTACTGGCTCCTTAAAACTTATCAAAATCAAATCTTTTTCTCTTAAAACACACTGAATGAGCACAATAAAGGATTCTCCCCATCATCACTATCTCCATTCACAAAAAACAAGAAAACAAAGCATCAAACACCCATATAAACAAACAAACAAAAAAAAAAGAAATACTGCAATCATCAGTTCTAAAGAAATAAAAACAGTGATTCATATCCACCGACAGCCATATCCATAAAGATTATCCAACAAAAAAGGGGTCAAACAAGAAATAAAAAAAATTGAGGGAAAAAAAAGGAAAAGGGGAATTACAGGATCATTAGCAACAAGCTTGGAGATACGATCTGCTAATCCAAAATTATGGCGAGAACCAGCCCAAACAATCTTCATCTCATTCACATCAAACTCAGCTTTTCTCCTCTCATCAGCCAAATAATCAACACCCTCCATCTTTTCCTCTCAGATCAAAACCCAAAAATTCTTACACAGAATGAAAAAAAATCCAATCTTTGGTTGTTTTAACAAATACCCCAATTCGATTCTTGAAAAAAAAGAGGAGAAAAAAGAAGAAGGATAAGGATTGAACACGTTTGAGTTTTCCAAGAAACGATTTATGTGTGCTATTTATAGCAGTAGTAGTTGCAGTGGGAGCTTATGCAGGCACTCTTACATAATCATATTTTGACTCTGCTTTTGTTATACAGTGGAGTATATCCCTTTGGCGTAATTATTATTTATTTTCTAAAAAGTTTGTTTATATTTTTAGCCTTTTTGCTTCGTAGGTTCCAAGGTTGATGTGAACACTCGGTACAGTAGGCGCCCATAAATAATATACGTATTCAATATTTATTTATATTGATTTGAGTTTAATAATTCACAAAATTTAATTTACAATATTGGTTAATAACTTAATATTAAAAAAATCTGTTTGAGAAGTATTTTAAGTGAAAGAGAATATTATTTCACGTACAATAATAGTATTATTTAATCTTTTCAAAGTACATATATGTCAAAAAATGAAAAAAAATAATGTTAAAAAATAATTTTAATTTCCTTTTCAATTTCAGCTGCAAAATATTTCTTTTCAAACTTCAATAAAATATTGTCCAAATGGCTACGAGTAAATTTGGCTTACTTTGTTTTAATCAATTCTCCTCAATTGGTTATTTTCTTTAAAATTCTTCTCTTTGAATACAATATTATAGCTAGTGGCGGAGCCAGAATTTCAAGCTTATAAGTTCAGGATTTGAATTATTTTATGTTCTTTGATTCTAATTAACAATTTATATATATTTAATGAATTTTTTAAAATAAATACATGGATCGAACCAAAGTTATTAAGTTCGGTCGAACCCGTACTCTAGCTCTGCCCTTGATTATAGGGACCATCCAAATTCCCTACTAGAAAATCTTTAAAGAGGTTTATATTTTGGAAATTAATTAGGTGTGCTGCATATTCATTGTTCTATTAGTTATTATTGAAAAGGATTCATTGATGAGCATGTTATATTAGAGATTATAAATTTGTTTCTCTTTTGGTTACGAATTAATTGATATGTTTCCATTCAATAAAAGACAAAGGATAATATTAATCTTAATCAGCATATAACTGAAACAGAATGTTTATTATAGTCTATCCGATTACTAACATTAAACATTAGATAGAGAGATTGGACGTACCAATGTTTGATCAATTTTATTAATTAGGTAGTTACATATTTACGTATCATTAGCCAATTAACAAAATTTTAAAGTTGGTTGACCATATTATTCATAGAGTCAGTGGTCCGTAGATCAAAACTTAAATCGTATCGTCATAGTGCTAAATTCTAATTTAAGGGTCTTATCGTTATTTTCGCTCAATTATGCCTCATTTATTTTTTATTTTTTTTGTAAGATTAAGACATCTGAATCTGAATATCAGGATATGTATTAAGATTACGACATCTGAATCTGAATATACATCTGAGTATCAAGATGTCACGATCCGGATTTTTCACCCTCGAAAGTCGTGATGACGCCTACTAATGTGAGCTAGGCAAACCAATTATGTGAACAATTTACCTTTTTTTACCCATTTTATATTCATTAACAATTGCGAAGTAATAACATTTAAACAGTGGATTTTAACATAAGCGGAAGAAAAAGCAATAAGCTAGCTGAACATGAATCCAATACAACTGTTTGAGTCTCAACTACCCAAAACTGGTGTCACAGTTTCACAGACGGTCTAAGAATACTATAATTAAAGGGCTGAAAGAAATAAATACAACACAGTCTCTCGAAATGCATGAAAGAAACAGGAATAGTAAATAGAAGGAGACGCCAAGGCCTACGGATGCCTGCACGACTACCTCGGATCACCTGATGAGCAAGAATCAGCAATCCCACTGCGGTCCGAAGTCTACAATATTGGGGTCTGCACAAAAGAGTGCAGAGTGTAGTATCAGCACAACCGACCCCATATGCTGGTAAGTGCCTAGCCTAACCTCGGCGAAGTAGTGATGAGGCTAGGACCAGACTACCAAATAAACCTGTGCAATTTAACTATATACAGCAGAAAAGAAGTACAAAAAGAAACAGTCATATACAGTCAAGTATGGGAGGGGAAAAACATACTGCAGGGAAACATCGAATAGTAACAGAAGAGCAACAAATAAATATGAGGATCACCACAGTTTAATTGAAAATAGGAAGGGGAAATCATGTTGCGGGGTACAACAAGTATCAATAGGAAACCAGCAATTTAGTGTAGAGAAACCATAACACAGTTATCAATAAAAATTAAGAAATCAAAGACAAGTGCATGGCATCACCCTTCGTGCTTTTACTCTCTCTCACCAAAACAATACACGGCATCACCCTTCGTGTGTTAACACTCTCTCACCAAAACAATACACGGCATCACCCTTCGTGCTTTACGCTCTTCCTCACCCAAACAACAATCACAAGGCAAATAGGGTAAGGGAATCTATAACCTCGAAATAAAATCAAATAACAAGAAAAAATCAGTAAATAAACGTAAAGGACAACATAACTCAATTATCAACAAGAATCAGGGAAATCAAGGACAAGTGCACGGCACCACCCTTCGTGTTTTTACTCTCGTCATCACCATAAGAATCAATACAATAGGCACAAAATGGTATATCGTGCGGCATGGCATCACCCTTCGTGCTTTACACTCTTTCCTCACCATGAAATCAATATAATAGGCACGGAATGGTACATCATGCGGCACGGCATCACCCTTCGTGTTTTAACTCTCTTCCTCACCCAAACAACAATCACAAGCAATAGGGCAAGGAAATAAAGGAAATTTGCAATAAGAATCCCGGCAAGGGACAAGTCAACAATTAAATGTCGGCAAGGGAACAACATCCATATCCCAGCAAGGGAGATAACAAATAAATCACCAATAGCTCGGCAAGGGTGACAACATCATGATCTATTCTCTTTCTCACTTTTACTTCACAATTCACTTCACAACTCGAGTCAATGCTCTAGAGGTTCAATTGTCACTTATACCTTCACACCTCGAGCCAATGCTCTAAAAGTTCAATTGTCACTTATACTTTCACAATTCGTTATACAACTTGAGCCAACGCTCCTCAATGTTCATAGGTCACAATTCTTTCAACAAACTTTATACAACAATTAGAAACCATCGCCAAGGCATGAAAGATACAACGAAGTTATGATAATCACAATATAAAGACTCACGGGTATGCTAGACACCAACATATAGATACTCATAATCATGCCTATACGTCGTACTCAACAATTACCACATAGCAAATAAGACTCAACTCATAATCCCTCTAGCTAAGGTTAGACCAAACACTTGCCTCGATGCCACGAACACAATTCACGATTCAATTATAGCTTTACCCATTGATTCCACTACCAATTCTCTCGTATCTAGTCACAAGTTACTTAATTACATCAATAAACACTAAATGAATTAATTTGAATACATGAAAATGAATTTTCCAAAGTTTTACCCAAAAGTCAAAAATCGCTCACAGGACCACATGGTCAAAACCCGAGGTTCGAACCAAAACCCGATTACTCATTCCCCCACGAACTCAAATATATAATTTGTTTTGAAATCAAACCTCAAATCGAAGTCCAAATCCCCAATTTTTGAAAAACCGAGGTTCTACCCAAAAAACCAATTTCCCCCATGAAAATCATTGATTTTGAGTTGAAATCATGTTAAAAGATGTTAAGGAGTGAAGAAAATAAGTTAGAAATCACTTACCAACGTTTTGGAGAAGAAAGGTTGTTTGAAAAATCGTCTCTTATGTTTTGGGGGTTTTGAAAAATGAAAAATAACTGAAAATCCCGTCCAAATATACTATTTTTAGGTGCCCTGTGCGGACCGCACAAAATTAACTACGGCCGCACAACACTATTTGTGTTCTGCAGTGACAGGTGTTACTATTTTGGCCATAACTTTCTCTACAAATGTCCAAATGCCTATTATAATATTTTTCTGACAACTAGATTCAACGATCTGCCACTTTCGTTGTTGAATCATCCTCAAGTTCCTTGTATATCAAAAGATATGAGCTTCCGAAATCGGACCAATGAATCTGTGAGGACCGTACAAAATCAACTGCGGCCGCACAGTCACCAGTGCGGACAACACAAAAACTACTACGGTCAGCACTGCAGGTTCAGAGGTTTGCACTTCTCTAAACCTGCAACATCCATGTTTTTAATCCAAAGACATCCCAGGACCTACCCGAAACTCACTCAAGCCATCGGAACTCCAAACCAAGTGTGCATACTAACTCAAAAATATCATATGGACCTACTCGTGCGATCACATCATCAAAATAACATGTAAAATCATGAATTAAACCTCAAAACTCAACATTTTCATTAATAACTCTCAAAGTTCATAACTCTTCAACCGGAAGTCCAACTCACGTCAAATAAACTCCGTTTTCACCAAATTTCACAGTTATCTTTCAAATACTATATTGTACCGAGCTCCAAAACCAAAATACGGGCCCGATAATAATGGTTTCAAACATTAATTCTTTTCTTCATTTCTTAGATAATTCAGTAAAATAATTTCTTTCAAAAATTGATTTCTAAGGCTTGGGACCTCGGAATTCATCTCCGGACATACGCCCAAGTCCCATATTTTACCGCGGACCTCCCGGGATTGTCGGAACACAGATCCGGGTCCATTTGCTCAAAATGTTGACCAAAGTCAACCATAATCACATTTTTAACTCTAAAGATTTCTATTTCTCATATTTTCATATAGAAGGCTTTCCAAATATAGGTCCGGACCACGCACGTAAATCAAGGTAGGGTAATAAGGAGGCTTTTGGGTCATCACATTGTCTACCTCTAAAACAATCGTTCGTCCCCGAACGGACATAAGAAGGAAGTACTTGAGTCGGAAAAAAGATGGGGATAATGGCTCCGCATATCGGACTCGGACTCCCAGGTCGATGCCTCAGCGGGCTGATCTCTCCACTGAACACGGACAGAAGGAAAACTCTTCGATCTCAACTGACAAACCTGCCGGTCTAGAATAGCTACCGGGTCCTCCTTATAAGACAAGTCCTTGTCCAACTAGACAGTACTGAAATCTAACACGTGGGATGGATCACCGTGATACTTCCGAAGCATGGACACATGAAACATTGGATGCACGGCTGATAAGCTCG